TGGAGGAGGCGGCGCTCGGCTTCCAGGTGCGCGGCCCCTGCCGCCGCCGCCTCTCTCCTGTTGACGTGACACTGGGTTTTTCTCCCCTTCTCGGTGTAGGCTCGGCCCTTCGGAGTGGCCCCCTCGTGATGTCAAGCGAGGCTGAAATTGGCTACTTCGTCCTCAAGGGGGGCTTTGGGACCCGGCTGGACAAAGCCTTGGCGGGGATGATGTAGTTGGGGCTGGTCTAGCTTTGAGCAGGGGGTTGGACTAGGTGTGACCTGAGGTCCCTTCCAGCCCTCGCTTTATGTGACCTTTTAGAATAATCTTCACATGCTGAAAGCCTGTTAGTAATGTCTCTTTTTATCACGTCTAATTCATTCCTCAGTCTTCAGTTGTGTGACGATTTAGCTTTAGAAAAAAAGCTGGAAATCGGGAACCAACATCAGCTTCATCTGTTTTCAGAGGTTGGGACACACAAGGCTTAAGATTTAAAACCCCAGGCCTGGGCTCCTGCAAAGCCTTGCTGTGGAAGATGAGCAAAGGGCAATTCGGGGTCCACTGGTGAGGGGATGTTAAGCAGAGGTGGCAGGGCCTTGCTGACCAGGGCAGGCTGCTGAGGGTTGGGGTGGGGGTGAGGAGCTGGGAATTTGAGGATGTGTGTTTGGAAATGCAGTGGCCAGGGATGTTCAGAGTTGAGGGGTGTGGGGTGACACGTGCAGTTGAGGCTGTGCTTGGGGTCCGGAGTTATTGGGAGCTGGGGTGTGTCCATTGTGTTTCCACGGGCTTCTGAATTTTAGTTGACTAATTGCCGTCCCTTCTTGCGCCTGCATCTTTGCCACTGAGTTGTAGCTAAGGAGGCTACATCTTGCCCTCTGAGACAGATAAGTGAATCCCAGAAGCTTCTAGAACTGTTGCATGTGTATAACTAGCTGTGTGTGTTGGGCACACGAAACAGTGACTGAGGTGACTTAGATTGCTTCTTGAGGCTGTGGTGAGTGGTCTGCAGTTGCTATTCCCCCTTTACCTCTTTTCTGTCGTGGTGTGTCCCGTCTGTCGTCCCCCCCCCCCCAAGATGCTTACTGTGTTCTGGGGAAGGCAGAATGAAGAAAGATTTCATTTACTACTCTTCCTCCCCAGACTCATGGCTGTAGGCTGCAGGGATGGAGCATAATCTTCAGCTTGCTCCCTCTCCCTTTCCTGGTGTAACAAAAGCTACAGTTTTAACCCTTTCATATCATAACTGAATTCTCAGCAGGTTTTGGCTGCTCTGCCAAAAGCTGAAACTAACTGGTGCTGAAGACTAGATTCCGTGAGCAGATCTAGGATTTTGAAAAGAGCTAAAAATAGAATAAGAAACCAGCAGTAGATGAATATCAATTTTGTTGAAGAAAGGCTAGCTTGACTGGTGGACTTCTAACACTTGTTGTGTGAAGAATTGGCAAGAATGGAGTTTAATGAGCCCTAGCAGTTCCTGAATAGAAAAGCCACTGCTCCTCTTTTAGGCAGAAAAGTTAACTTCCCAGCTTAAGGCATAACCCCAGTTTTGGAAGGGTATTTTGGGGATGGGGGCAGATGCCTCTTGTTTGCAAGCAAATATGGTAGGTAGATGAGGTCTCATCTTAGGGTGGTGTGTCTGGTTCTAGTTGCCACCACTCCCTTATCTAGAGAGAGGTTACAATGGAATTCAAAGGGTTTAGAGATGAACAAAGAACATGGTCTGAGCTCTGGCAAATAAGGGAGAGCTGGGAGACTTGGGTTAGGATGGAGACCCTACAGGAGGGGAGATGATTTAAAAAAAAAAAAATGGAAAGCAGTGGGTGTCCCAAGAAGGAGAGTCAAGAAACTTTATGTACCTATCGCTTTACATAAAGTAAGGGGGTATTCAGTGAAGCTGGTACTAAAAATATGGTTTAAAGGATGTGCCAGTTCACGTAACTTTGCATATTTTAGATTAACCATGGGGGGGTGACTTCCATTGCTCTTGTAGTTCAGGAACAAGCTGCCCAGGGAAGTTGTGGAATCTCTTTTATTGGAGGCTTCCAAGAAACTGGAGAGGTATCTTGTCTAGGATGGATTAGGAAGAGCATGGTGGGGGGAGTCCCTTCCAACCCTCTCACTCTGACTGGTTAACTGGTGGCACCAGATAACTGAAACTAAAGGCTGAGCAGAATTCAAAACAGAACTAGACATGTACTAGATGGTAGACTTCTTGAGGGAGGGGCCATACTGCTATGCAGCATTACTAAGTTAACAAGTTTGTCATTGTATGTAGTGGCTACCTGGGGGTTTCTAGTGACAGAATGTTCTTGGTAACTGCTTCTTTAGACAGTCTGTCTAACGATGCCTTTTGACTTGAGGCTTTTATGATTTTCTGCTTTCAGACATCAGTAATGCTGATTCTGTCTTGTACCTCACCTAATGTAATGGGAGCCTGGTTCAGGACTAGGGTTCTTAAGTGTCACTTCACTTCAATATAGGTAATTATGTGCATGACAAAAAAAAGTTTAGAGCTGTAATAAGGATTAAGTCCAACACCCAGTTTTCAAGACCATATTAATTTAGTCCATTTTGACAAGTAGGATTTGCCCCTTCCCCAGGCGGTGGGTACTTGCCTATCCTGGAAACTAGGAATCTGTAATCTCCTCAAACAGGGCACAGTAATGTTGGCACTTCAGAATTGCTAGTCGCTCCTTCAAAAAATATATTCAGGAGCCTCTGGAAGGGCTTGTTTATAGCGTAAGCCAATCTCTAGCTATTGTGGCTTGCAGAGTTGAGGGAACCCAGCTGCAGGGGGGGTTTATGCTACAGTGAGGCAGTTGGAGCTGGTCATTACAGGAGACCAGGCAATGGGGAAGAGAGGCCCCTCTCATGAGTCCATGTGATGGCTTCTTGCATTTCCAAAATCTGGAAATTTTGTTGTATCTCAACAAAGATCTTTCTTGTTCTTTCCAGGAGGCACCACAAGAGCACCTGGCCTGTTTGAGAAAAGGGAGAGAAGAATCCAAAGTTCAGCGTGAGAGGCAAGGCGAGGAGCTGCTGGTAAGTCCCTTGCTCAGGTTTGCCTGGCTTAGTAACAGACCCATCTCCCAACAAACCTAAGTTGCCTTCTCTCTTCCAATTGTAGAAGCAAACAGAAACTGAGAGGCAGAAGATCATAGCAGAATGCAAGGAGCTACGTGGGTTCCTGGAAGAGAAAGAGCAGTTCCTGCTTTCCAGGCTGGAAGAGCTAGACAGAGACATTGTCAAGAGAAAGGATGAAAGTGTCTTCAAGCTGTCTGAAGAAATTTGCCACATTGATAAACTACTCAGTGAAAAAGGAGGCGAGAGTGAGCCAATGGACCAAACTGACCAGGTGAGACTTATTGCAGGGTCAGTATCATTACACACTTCTACTTGCAGTCAGGGAAGTAGGAAGAAAAGGTGGTGGAGAGATCCTTAAACTTCAGATCTGTTCTCCGTTGTTGGGTATAAATGATCCTGCCTTGGAAATAAGAGGTCATTGAATCTACCTCCTGAGGTACCTTCTATCCATAACTTCTTATTTTTACCAGTAAGAAATGCATCCAAACTTGTTTAGTCAGTTTTATGTACCTGGTGCTTGACTTATTTCTCAAGAGATCTCATTCTCTGTTTGAATAACTTAAACTGTGGGGAGGGGGCAGAGAATTGGAAAGAGCACTTTCCTTGCCAAAATCTAAATCAGGATTTTTTTTTTTTTTTTTTTTTTTAAGTACCTGTGGCAAAAGTATAGAAGTGGGTCTTTCTCTTTGGAGTGCTGTGAATCCATTGTCATTCTGAGTAGACACTGGCTTGTTGAATGAGATCTAGAATGTGGGCCTTTGTCTTTCTAGTACGCCTTTTCTCCTGGTGGTCTTCCCTTTTTAACTGGGCTAAGCTTCAGAGCTAGCTGAGGAAATCCTTTCCTGCTTTACGAACAGGGCAACTGAGGCACAGGGAACCAGGCTGTAACTGGACTTTCAGGAAGCTTGTGACCAACATAATTTAGTTGGGACTCCTGGGTTTCCAGTCTCTTTGTGTTGTCTGGGTTAATCCTTCTGCACTGTTGGCTCTCTTCAGCAGCAGAGAGAAGAGGGCATGCTACTAATAGAGATTCTCTAGAGGCCTTTTTAAATAAAAGTGTATGGCAGGGAGGTAACGTCCCCCGGTAGAGAATCCTGGAGCTGTAGAGAGCTCAAGTCCTGATTGGAAGGGATAAACAACAGCTGCTCAGAACATGAATCTGAGTGCCTGACACTTTTTTCTTCCTTTTTAATGCTACAGTCTGGGAATCTGACTGAATCTTTTCTCTCCTTTTCTAGAGTGTCGCCAGCACTGTGACCAGGTGAGTCCTGTCCTTTGACTTCAGATTTGTTGCATGTATTTTTTCCAAACGTAATGTGTAGCTTCTCCCTGCCTGTGTAATATGACTCTTTCCTGTCTACCCCATCAGGAGGTGATGAGAAGTTACTGCATAAATGTGTTGGGGGCTTGGTCACTTAAGGCGCTTATACACATGATGAAAATTGCCCTTGTGTAGCTTAATGATATCACTCACACTCGCATACTTATTTGGCAATTTAAACCTGTTTTCATTGTCGTAAACTAATCCCCATCCCGATGGAGTCTAGTTTGTGACAGTGCAGCTTGGAATGATGCAGCCATTAATCCATTGCATGTACATCGTAATTCAGTGAATGACCTGTAGTGAGCACCTTTGCACCTCAGATGTTGATACAATTTGCAGGTATTTGTATGTAACTAGTGTTATTAGGATGTCCTTGGAAGGCCAGGGGGGAGCCCTGGTGATTCTCAGGGCCTGGTACCAAAACTTGCAACAGTTGCAGAGCATAGCTTTTGCCTGCCCAGCAAAAATCTCCACATTCTTCCCAGCAACAGCTGTGAAGAACCCCCTGCTCCCTTCCACCCTGCACTTCTAAAACATCCCTTTTTGGCTAGCTGCAGCATAATTGTCCCCTAATGTCATTATTTCACTTGCCAGTTTTACATAAACCTGACAAGCTGAGTTCTGTGAGCCTGCATAAGCATTAAGCACACCTGCTTTAAGAAGAGCAGGTGAGTTCTGCCAGCACTCACTCCCTCACTGGCAGTGTCTGAACTATGCAAGTGTGAACTGTCTTGGTACCGGCGCTTATAGAAATCTGCTCATGTGACCTTTCCTAACAGAGCACCTGTGACATCCATAGCCTGCCCCAAATTGTCCCCCAAATCCCCCATTTGTCCAGAAAGGTAGTTGTTAACGGCTCACTGTTGCACATACCCAAAACTCTTTGCCTGGCAGCTTGAGATGCAGCTAGAAGGGACTGCAGCTGTCCTATTCAAGCACCCCCTCAACACTGTCTGACCTGTCAATTGCTCAACTGTGATCCTGGGGCTCTATTTTGGTCTGAAGGGGGGGAAAAAATTGGGGTTCATCCATTCAGTCTTCTGCTTGGTGCCTGCCTTTTTTTATACTGAGCACTTCTGTTGACATTCCAGGAGTAATCCCCCAAAAATCTAAAACCCCAAGTTTTTGGAAGAAGGGTGGTTACAGGTACCTAGGGTATGTAGGAATTGAAGTGTGACGAGCAGGGCAATTAATGCTAATATCTCTATTCAACTACCTTTAATTTGGGGTTTGGCGATCTGGGTGTTCTGCTCAGTGCCTGCCTTTTTTTTTTTTTTTTTTTTCTGCTGAGCACACAGGTCATTGAAAACTGGATGTAGGGAGATTTTTAGGACACTTGTGACTGCGATTTATTACTTTGTGGCTTTGGCACCTCTATCTGGCATAGCTCTTCATGTGCTAATGGGACCCATTCAAAAAGAGTTTGGGTACCTTGCCCACCTTTATTCCCCAGCTCCTGCTGGGTTGGGGCTCTTTGCTGGGGTGATACTTTGTCGCAGGTCTATTCATCATTCCTCCAAGCGCTGTTATATGCAGCCCTGGGCAGATCATGGGATTCTGAGGTCATTGGATACCCCAGGTTTTAGAGGGAGGCAGTTACAGGAACTTGAGGTGTGTAGGAATTGAAATGTAAAGAGCAGGGCTGTTTTATAATGGCTACTGACCCTATTTAGCCCTACCTATTCAACCCCCTTAGCACAAGCAGGTCATGCTCAGAACAAAACAGTAACTGTTCTGTCCTGCATAACAACATGGATTCAACAAATCCTGATGGAATCAGTGAGGAGAACCAGATGCTGTTGAATGCCCTGGAGATGTCTGACCAGAGAATGGAGGCACTTGATAATGCAGAGATGCTGCTACTGAACACAATGCAGGCTATGATGGGCCTTCTACAGAGGCACCAGTGCAGGGTAACAGCTTCGCATGCCTCGCTATACCACTCGATGGGCCTTGAGCTGGAGTCGGAGATCCGAAATGCAGTTGCGGATATTGAGGCTGACAGGGCTCTGTGGATCAACCTACAGAGTAATGATCGCGAGGTTTGGGCCCATGTGAGCAGCTCTGATTGGTGGGAGCGCATCGTGCTGTCTATTTGGGATGATCAACAATGGCTTGAGAGCTTCCGCATGAGTAGGGACACATTTCTGCACATAGTCTCACTGCTGTCGCCGCACATTGAGCGCCAGGACACTGTTAAGCGTCATGCCGTTACACCAGAAAAGAGGGTGGCCGTGGCCATCATGAAACTGGCCACCCCCACCAGCCTCCGCTTCATCGGGAACTAGTTCGGCGTGACTCCCTGCACGGCTGGCCTGGCAATACGTGAGGTATGCCAGCTGCTGCAGGATGTCGTGGCAAATGACATAATCGGTCTCCATAACCCCAGGGAAGTTGTTGAAGGCTTCAAGGCCGTGGGGTTCCCTAACTGCGTGGGTGCATTGGGCAGCACACGCATCCCAGTGTTATCTGTATCGTAGGCAAGTCGGTCATTCACCAATGGGAAGGGATCTGCCTTGGTGATGCTCCAGGCTGTAGTTGATCACTGAGGACTGTTCACTAACATTTATACAGGCTGGGCAGGTAGCACACATGATGTGCATGTCTTCAGAAACTTGCTGCTGCCTGGCATGATGAAGAAAGGACAATATGCACCTGGGGTCCCCAATAGAGTGATTTGGGGTGTTGCTGTGCCCCCGCTTATCGTAGCGGATGCAGCTTATCCCCTCCTGCCCTGGCTCATGAAGCCGTATGGAGGAAAAGTTACTGACCAGGAAAAGACACTATTCAGCCACAACCTTGGCAAATGTAGGGTGGCTGTTGAATGCGCCTTTGGCCATTTGAAAGCACGGTGGAGGTCACTGAACAATGGGCTCCAGATGGAGCCAGGAAATGTTATGGCATTCATTGTAGCAGCCTGTGTACTCCACAATATTTGTGAGACTAGGGCGGAGGTATTCATGGAGTCTTGGTGTGAGAAAGTGAGGGAGGCAACAGCCATGCAGAGATGTGGGCAGGCAAGGTATGGTGCCCCCTATGATCAGCCTGCAAACACTGGTCAGGGAGTCATTGTGCGGAACTGCCTGGCTGCACACATTCTGGTTGCTGCAGATGGAGAGGGCATGCTGTAGGCCACCAGTTGATCATCGCTGAACACTAAACCTAAACTATTCAGCAGGTATAGTTGAGTGTTTCTATAAATAAAGAAGTTTGTTGCAACACTCTTGTCTGTCTCATAAGTACATTGTCTCTAGGGGCATTTGGGGGGGAAGAGTGCAGGTTGCGGTGATAATGTGGGAGGGAGGGGGGGAGCTGAAGAGGGCTGAAGCTTATAGGTTTTCCTTTGCTTTGTGTGTATGGGGGTGAAATGTGGCAAGGACATTAAAATGCATTACCTACTGCTGGTCACATTAACTTGAATGCCCAATGTGTGTGAGAAGAAATAAGAAACTCGCAGGGTGCTGATTCTTGTGCATATTAAATGCTTGAAGAATTTCAGTGCCCTGTTTGGAGAGAGGGGAGGTGACTTTTAAAAAGTGGTTCTCTGCTCCTGTATTGATGGGGGATGTGGGTATGTCTTGTTGGAAGGCCAGGGTCTTGTGTTAGCTTGGCAGGGGGAGCTTGGATGACTGGTATGTAGATTTGAATTTTGGTTGGCAGAGTGTTTTGGGGGACAGTTCAATGGAACTAGAACTTGTGGGGGAGGAGGGCCAAGCAGTGTTGAGCAGTGTCTGGGGATGGAAGGGAAACATTAAACAAAACAATAACCCCACCAACAGTGCAGGAATATGAATACAGAAATGTGGATTCAGAAGGGGGGACTGGTTCCAGGTATCTTCCAGGATTGGGACTTCCTGTGAAAGAATGCATTATCAGAGTTCCAATTAGTGCACCACAACACTCCAGTACGCGTGTGGAGAGAGATCTCATCCATATGTGAAATTCACAGGGTACGGATTTGTGCACGTATTGGGGGCGCTTGGAGAATTTCAGCGCCCTGTTCGTACAGGTAGTTGTATTTACACATGAAATAAAGTTTACTTGACCTAGAAATAAGAATAAAAATAAAGATGGGAATGAAAAGAATAAAATAAGTATAAATTTAAGTATATTGGTGTAAAAAAAATTTTAAAAACATAAATGTTTAAGAAAGATGCTGAAATGAAGTTGCACCACTTTTGGTCATCTATACATAATCAGCAAACTCAGCTGTAGACATCATGGGTCTGTGACAGGGGATCAGTGGTGTGTGGTGCCCCCTGCTGTAACTTGGTTTGAACAGATGAGCAGGGTGGGTTGTTATGCAGGCACCCCTTGCTTAGTGTGCTGTTCACAGTAAATTATTGCATTTCATGAGATTTAAGAGCAATGTTGTATAAACAGTGACAGAAAAAACAGTTTCAGTTTAGGAGGCATAGAATGCAGCCTTGAAAGACTAAAGCCCCTTCATGTGTACAAGGGCCCTTTGGTGTTAAAAGGCTCGGGCTGCGTGTGATCACAATGTGTACTATGTGGTGTACACTTGTGGTATAGTGCTTTCTGACCCAGATTTCTCTGTTTTGTACAAGGCTCCAGTGCATGGATTCCTGGGGCATGCCTCCAAGTAGCTTATCCTAGTACCCTGAGACATTAGAGTGCCCCCAGAAAAAGCTGCTAAGCTCTTCTTTCTGCTCCTAGGTGTTTTCCCATGTCCTGTCAGGCTGGAACTGCAGGGCTGTAGTCATGTGATTCCCAGTACAGATTGTCCCAAGCTACAGTGCTGAGCCTCACCTCACCATGACAGAGGTCAGAGCTGGGTCTGTAATTCTAACTGCTCTCCTTCCTACTTCCAGCAGCAGGAACTGGGTATTTCAGAAGCAAGAACCTGGCTTTTCAGAGGTGGAGAAAAAGCTTAAGAGCTTCTCCCAGAAAAGTGCTGTCCTGAAGGAAGTGTTGCTGGAATTCAAAGGTAAGAATCATTGTTACGAGTTTTTTGTTTGTTTGTTTTCCCCTTCCTTCTTTCTCTGTTTTACCATAGTTGCAAGAGAGGATTAAATTACTGTAATGATTCTTGCTGCTTGAGAGCAGACCTTGGAGGCATGCTCTGAAATGTCTTGTCTTAGCTACAAGGTGACATTTTACCATGGAGCAGTAACAAACCTTATCTGGGATTTGTGGCATGATATCCTCAAAGCACTGTTGTTGAGGTTACTAGAGGAAATGCATACATGCTACATGTGCAGAGGGGACTTGTTAGAGGGTTACTGCAGCATGAGTTAGAACATGCTTTCTGTCTCCTTACTTTCTGCCTGAAGTGGAAGGAACTGCTCTGAGTAGGATGCCAAGGTTCTGGTGATATACAGGCAGAGGTGTCTCTGCAAGGAATGCCCAGGCTCTCTCTTCGAATCATCAGAAAATCAGAAAATTAGGGTCTAGCTCCATCCTTTCTTGAACCCTGCCCCCCCCCTTTCAGGTAGCTGAAGGCTGCTATTAAATTCCCTCTGTCTCCTCCTCTAGACTAAATAAGCCAAGTCATGTACCCCAGCCCCCTAATGATTTTTGTTGCCCTCCGTTGGACTCTGTCCTATTTGTCCACGAATCTCACTCGAGCTTGGAAACCACGTGGAATCCACAGCTACTTAAGTCTTCATTGTTTATTTACCGAGCACTGAGAAATGCCTAGTTTCAGCCACTATCTGTTATAGATGGTTAGAGCTGTTGAGTGGACACAGTTCAGTGCCTAGCATATTTCAAAGGCTTTAAATAGTATTGTTGAAAAGTAGAGGTCTTGCAATTTAACTCTAGAAAAGGGGAGAATCTTTTTGCACTCTTCACTGTTCAGTGGCAAAAGGGAGAGATGTAGAAACTTATTTGTTCATGCATGATAATGGTCATGTTGTGAGGCTCCAACTCTTCTTTCTTCCCTGCAGAGAACCTGCGGTTTGAGCTGGAAAATGACACGGGTAAGTTTTCGCCCTTTGAGCCACTTGTGGGGCAGAGGGACTGGTGGAAGGTATGCATGTAAAGCATCTTGACAGGCTGCATTTATTGCCACAGCAACAGAGTGAAAGTGGTTTTTGTTGTTGTGACTTGTTCAGGGCAGGCTCCCTCCTAGCATCTTATGCAGTAAGTGTGTCTAAGTCCTGAATTCTGCAAAGCAGGATGATATGCAAATACCTGCTCAACTTCCCTTGGTAGTTATAGGCTAGCTGTCCATTTGTACTCTCCTGACCCTCTCCCTCATTGTTAGTACAACCATTCAGTGTTGGCACTGAACATACAGAACCTCTTGACCCTTTTATCTATGTAGATTTCCCTCAGTGGTTCTCGAGCCATTGTCCAGCAGCACAAACATGTCATGGGCATCTTGAAGGTCCTCACACTACTTGTTTGTACTTCTAACTTAGTTAGATCTTGCAGCCATACAGTCCTGTCTTGAGAGCATCTCCAGATGTCTCTTTTTAATACAGACCTCATACCTCATAAAACTCTTAAGAGGGCAGCATTCAATATATACAGACTAGGCAATCCCTTCTACAAGAGTGTGAAAGGATCTATTACAAAAAGCAAATGCTAGCAGGCACCCCTTCACACTGCCTCTGGTCTAATCCATTTCTGTCTCTGCTTAGGTGATATCACTCTGGACCCAGAGAGTGCAAATCCCTACCTGATGCTGTCGGAGGATAAACGGAGTGTGCGGCTGAGAAGTGCCCCACAGGACCTGCCTGCGAACCCCAAGAGATTCGATTATGCTTTCTGTGTCCTGGGGGCTGAAGGTTTTTTCTCTGGCAGGCATTACTGGGAGGTGGAGGTTGGGGATGGGGACAGCTGGGCTGTGGGGGCTGCTAGGGAGTCGGTGAGAAGGAAGGAGAAAATTGACTTTGCACCTGAGGAGGGGATCTGGGCAGTAGGGCTGAATTGGAAGGGCAAGAACTGGGACCAGTACCAAGCTTTCACCTCTCCTGAGACACCCCTGTCCCTGTGTGAGAGGCCCAGAAAGATTGGGGTCTACCTGGACTATGAAGGAGGATGGGTGGCATTCTACAATGCTGATAACATGGCCCCCATCTTCACCTTCACAGCTGCTTTCACTGAGAAGATCTTCCCTTTCTTCTGGCTCTTCTATGTTGGTTCCTCTCTCTCGCTATGTAATTGACCTTCCCAACTTTACACCTAAAGGTGACCTGCAAAGGGGGGTGGGGGGTGGAAATTAGGGTATTTTGGTTACTTTCTGAACCAGGCCTAAAATGTTGATGTTTTTGTTTCTATGCTAGTCTTGGGTCTCATCTGTTCTGCAAGATTCAGTGGCCCACTAGTGATCTGTACATGGGAATCTTTAAAACCAGAGATGATCAACTTTGCATAGTCTAGGTGGCTAAAGATTTGCATGTAGAGACCTTGAGTGGGCTGTAGAGTGTTGCAGGGTAGACCAGTTCTATTGCCCAAGTGACATAAAGAGTGGGATTTCCAAAGTGTTTTGTCCATTTCTGTTCTGTTCAGGAATTAGCAACCTTATGACAGCAGTGATGCTGAGGAATTTCTCTCTCTTCACTCAGAAACGTTAACTCGGACACCTATTTAACTCGGTACATGCCTCAGCAAGAAGAGCTGCAGTAGTGACTGATCAGTCCTTCCTGCCTGTTTCAAGGTTGATTAGGAGCAAAAAAAAGAAGCCAGCAGGCAGAGCCAGACTTGGCATTCTCAATGGTTGTTGATCTGGAAAACCAAGCTGCATGAGGAGAGGAGGTATATGGATATCAGGCCTCTTAACTTTCACTTTGCAGGTCACCTTTTAGAGAATGTAGTTGCTCCAGTTCCCTTTCTGTTCCAGCCTCTGTATGGAGATTAATGCTTTCTCTTAATGGAGCAGGGTGTCAAGTTTCTTGGCCACCAGCACTCAGTTTAAAAAAAAAAAAAAAAAATAGCCTCTACTATTACTTTTCCCATGTTGCTGAATACCTAGGGAGGACTAGGCTTGCCCTCTGTATCTGGGCCACAGAAGTTGCTGGGAACTGAGGTCTGTCACCCTCTCTGAGGATTAGGCTTGCTGCATTTGAGCAGTAGGCCAAATTCCTGGGTTTAGGAAGGATGGTAGGATCTGTTACCTGTTGACTCAGGTGAATGAGAAATATAGGTCATATTCTGGGGCTACATGAGGCTTTAAATCCAGGAGGTAACTAGCTCTATACCTAGAGGGTTGGGTGCTGATTTTACTTGATATCAGAATTTCCAGACTGGCAGAGAGCAGAACTAGCAATCGTTCCAGTCCTTGCCCTGTGGCTTTTGGTAGCTGTTCAAGGTTGGCCTGTAACAGGGAGCAGAATGTGTCCTTGTTAAAGCAGCCAGAAGGTGACTTTCATCTGTTTTGTGATCCTCCTTTAGTGTTGAATTGCCTCTAGCCCTGTAATTCCTTCAGTGCCATGCATCCAGGCTGTTTCACTGTTGCTGTTTAGTAGGAAAAATAAAACTTGCTGTGCAAATAGCAAAGTCCAATGTGGGGTCTGTGTGTGTTGTCTTGTTTTTGTGTGGGGGCTTTTTTCCCTGTTTGGTTGTCTTTTGTGGTGGGGAGGACACTGCTCTAAGCATCTGATTCAAGAAAGGATGAATCCACTCCTTTTGGTTGGGCTCCTTTTGCAGTGGTGAGGCTATATCTTGAGTTTGGGGTGAGAGGGGCAAAACTAGACATGGTACTAAAGGAAGGATGTGGACAAATTGGAGAGTTCAGTGGAAGGCAGTGAAAATAGTGAAGGGGCCTGGGGGACATGACTTCTGAGGAGAGGCTGAGGGAACTGGGCCTACTTACTTTGGAGAAGAGAAGACTGAGGGTGAACTTAATAGCAGCCTCAACTACCTGAAGGATGGTTACAAAGGATGGATGTAGATTGTTCTTAGTGGTGGCAGGTGACAGAACAAGGAGCAATGGTCTCAAGTTTCAGCAAGGGAAGTTTTAGATTAGATATGAAGTGGGTAGTAAAGCACTGGAACAGGTTGCCCAGAGAGGTGGTGGATTCTCCATCCTTGGAGGCTTTTAAGACCTGGCTAGACAAAGCCTTGGCTGGGATGGCTTGGCTTTGAGACTGGCCATTGTTTATAAATGGGTCATGGTCCAAAAAAGGTTGAGAGCCACTGGACTAGGTGACCTCCTGAGGTCCTTTCCAACCCTCACTTCCTATGACTTGGTGCAGAAGAACATATCTGGCAGAGCAGAAGTAGAGCCAAGTCTATTCTGAAATCTGGGGTGCTCTTCCTTCTCTACCTTGTTTATAATTGCTGACGATGTGGAAGTCTGAATCTGGGCATGGAACCTGGCCCTCCCATCTGATGGACCAGGCCATAGTCTGACTGCTTCCTCTAGCACAGCAGCTCTTAAACTGTGGGTTGTGACCCCAAATGGGGTCATAACATCAGCGGATGGGGTTGCAATAAATATGCCCTCTGAAATTTCTGCGCCCACAGCACAATGTGGGGCTGCAGCTGGGCCATACCGGGTCCAGGCAGGAGCCACCTCTGCGGCCCAGGAAGTGGGATCTGTTGTGGAAGGGAGTGCTGCATCACCAAGGTGAGGCATGGCAGTGGCAGGGGGGGTGGGGCGCGG